TAGGAAACTACTCAGCAGCAGCTCTGAATGAGTTGAAAGAGGCTACAGGGGTATGCAAGGTTTGTAATCAACCATGTATATTAGCATATTTTATGATAAACTATCAATTTAAATGAGAAATCCTTACCAATTATTACTCAGGGCTTCTAATCTCAACATAATAATCAATTTAGTAACAAAAGAAAAAAAGCTAAAAAAGCAAATAAAATTGTAGATAAATTACTTTAAAAACAAGGTATGTTATTTCTGCCAAAAGACCCTAGATAGTCACTTTGAAAGTGGCTTATAACTATTTAGTAAAATTGGTAACGTAAACTTAGTTCTACTGGCACATAGAATCACTAGCAGCAATGATCAATGCATGCAAATTGAGAAGCATTTACAGAAATTATGAATAAATTCATAAACCCTTTGAGTATTGCATTTATGTTTCATTGTACATTAATTTGAAGAGCTTGAAAGGAAAGAAAGGCTTGTCTTTTTTGTTTTTGCATTGAACTAATGACCAATATATCCAAAATAAGTATAGAGGGAGCACAGATTGTTTACTGATAACTGCTTGGGATCAATGCACTCGAATTCTGCACTATAGTATCTGCATTCTAAACTTACACAACTTGTGGCCCACCAAACTGAATGCACAGTGGTGAGCTAGGAGCTGCTACTTGTCAATTTATGCAACTGTGACAGTCCCAGACAGGCAGCAAAAACAGGAGGTTTGTTCAGTCTGATTTGGGGCAGCATACATAACGTGTAGGCAGTGTCTGTCTTGGTTGGCCCCAAATCTGATCTAGAAAATTGGTTTGGTGTGGCATAATTATTGCCATATTTCTTAAAAACTCACTGCTACATCACTTGTGGCTTATTTTAATAGGAACACTGTCTTAGATTTTGAATTCCATAAAAATACACTTGTCTATGTTCAGTCATAAACTTGGAAGTGGGATAATGTGCTAAAATAAAAGTACAATTCAACATAGTTGCATGCATAGTGGTAAACCTATCTGTGTACTCAAGATTTTCGAGCACCATAGGTTCTCATGCTATTGAAAAGTAAGATGTTTCCACTTTCAAAATACAGCTTGCCTTTCAGTAGCAGAGAGTTTTGCAGCAGAGTATTCAAGACACCTCCAAATCCAGAAAATTCTGCCACTATGAACACATGCATGTCCATTAGACTGCAATCATTGGCAATATCCCATGGATGATTGTGGATAAAAATGATACCATATAGATTTAACTCCCAAGTTCAAGTCTTTGAAATACAGGTAATATTTACATATTTTGACACTAACGATTTCTCCACTACCTGGAAATAAATTTTCTTATTAAACATTTAATTGTAAAATGTTTTCAAATCCAATTTCTTGGATCAAAAAACCTATAATAGTAGAAATACTTGCTTCTATAGGCAGTATAAATTAGGGAAAGGAATCCTTTGGGCTTCCAGATGTTGCTGCACAACAGCTCTCACTACTGGTCATCAAGGCCAATGGTGAGGAATGTCAGGTATTGTAGTTCAGCTACATATGAACAATCATACGTTCCCTACTCCTGGTAAAATTAATGGCAGTGAATAAACTTAACTCAGACGTCTACCTCAAATTAAAGCATTTAATGCTGAGCATTTACAAGAAAATCAGAACATATGAATCCTTAATAGATAATGCCTGGGAAGTTTCACATTTACATTCAGATTATTTAGGAAAAAACTTTCCTATATAGGAAAAAAATCTCTGCTGATTTATAGAGGGGGAGGTAGTCAGTGGTCTCTGGGTAAAGCACAAATCCTTGTTTTTTTCCCATAGTTCCTTTGAAAAATTGGATATATATACAGGTAGTCCTCAACTTACAACCATTCATTTAGCAACTGTTCAAAGTTACAACAGCACTGAAAAAAGTGACTTACAACCGGTCCTTGCACTTACGACCGTCACAGCTTCCCTGCAGTCACATGATCAAAATTCAGGGGCTTGACAACTGGCATGTATTTATGATGGTTGCAGCATCCTGGGGTCACGTGATCACCATTTGCAACCTTCCCAGCCAGCTTTCAACAAGAAAAATCAATGGGGAACTGCATGATACACTTAATGATCGTATGATTTGCTTAACAACTGCCGCAAAAAATGTTGTAAAATCGGATGCTGTCATGTGACACTTTGCTTAACAACTGCACTGCTTAATGATAAATTTTCCAGTCCCTATTGTGGTTGTAAATCGAGGACTACCAATACTGAATATGCTCCAGGGAGTGGGCATCATAATCCCACAAATGGGCTAAATACTCTTACAGATTCATATCAATTACATTAATTTACAATGCTCAAAGGGTTAATGCAAGGCATTACCATCAAAAGAATTTTCTAATACTAGAACTAAGCACTGCATTTATGCTTCTATTCCAGTTTTCTTTAGTTACTAAACAAATAACCTAGCAACAGTACTAGAATTCCTTTTCCTTTAAACCATATACATAGAGACTGACCTGTAATGCAGGAATGAGGGCCCAGTTTTCAGAAACTGGTACTGCTTTCACAAATCAGCGTTATGTGTTCTGAAAGTGTTCTGTAGTGTTATTTTGGCCTGTGAAATCTATGAAATTATTTAATATTTTGCTGAGAAATAATTTGAAAAAAGTGTTTCCAATGCTTATGAATACCTCGTTTTAAATTAAAGAAATTGTATGTAGACCTATACATTCCTGAATGACGGTACCTTTAGTACTGTTTCAATTACTATCACCCATTGTGAACCAAATGTGGTAACATTGCACAGCAGTAGCATTTTTTTTAAATAAATGAGTGATTTCTAAAGTAGTATTATAATTACATGTTATAATACAAAAAATAAGCACAACGAAAAAAAAGGCAGGACAGGACAAAAATGTGTTAAAGTGACAGCACCAAAGATTTTGCATTCCTGAAGAGATTATGAAAACTGGGCCCTGCTTCTGAATAAGAATTTTCAGTAGAATCATTAGCATTGATCACTGCATTACTTCTTCAAGAGCCAAAAAGTCTTAATTATTAAAAAAATAGTATTTAAAATAACTTTTAAAGACAAATTGTTCAGAAATGTTGTTAGTTCATTTTCTTGCAATGCTCCCAAAAGTGCTTCAATTAAGCTACAGTGTTTCTCAATATTTTACGATGAGTACATATTCCTTGATTATTTAGATTATACTGGATTCATGGCATAATGTGAAACCATTTATGTAACCTTCAGTGAAAAATTTATGGGGTAGCATCTAAAGCTGCAACTAGAAGAAGAATTTGGGAAAGCCCTGGTGTTTGCACAGAACACTAGGGCATATGCATGGGAGTCTCTGAATCCCAGCCCTCGTACATTTCATTTTGAAAAATATATATAGTATATAGGCACAAGTAGTACAGTATCAGAATGCTACCTAAAGTGAGACAGTTTACTGATTATACTGAAGAGCTTCTGAGGATAATGCAGGTCAGTTGGCCATTTGATTTATAACACCTACTAGACAAAAAATATAAAAGAAATTATTAGGATACACACACACACACACACACACACACACAGAGCATTGATTAACAGAAACTATTCTAATGTCTTGTTATCTGTGTTACTGATTTATTGGAGCATTTTGGAATACATTTTGGGCACTGACAGATTGTGGAGTTTCATTATTTGTATAGTCCACAGCAGACCAGAATCCCAGGATATGATGTAAGATACAATAAATATTGATCTTTTTGGCACATTGAATACAGTGATCAACTGGAAGGGGAGTGGTCTGGAAAATGAATCATAAAAATTTACAGCCCTGTCTCTCTCAGAAAAGTAAATTTGCATCTTTTTCATTTTTCTGCATGAACAAAAACCAGTATTCAGAACAAAAGAAGACAGTGATACAGAAACAGAAGTTTGTCATCCAAGAAGGATCATACCAGTAAATAAATCATATCTAACACAGAACCTTAATAGACTCTCAAAAAAAGATGCTGAAAAGTGTTTCTTTGTTTTTACATTTAATTTTACTGTATTTAAGTGTAAACATTTCATAATGCACAATGAGAGGGAGGAACTATCACAGCTTAGTTTTTTAAAAATTGGTGAGGGGTGTAGGTGTGATGAATTTTGATGAAAAAATAACATATTCAAATAGCAGAATGAACAGAATTATAATGAAATATATCAGCATGTTTAACCAAACGGCAGGAATTACTAGGCACAATACCTAGTTCAGCCCAATTTTGCAACTCTAAGCAATTCTTAAAGCTTAGTTTTGAAGTAGAAATATTCAAATAAAAAAAATTAGTAAATCTTTAGATATTCTTGATACATGAAAAATCAAGGGTGAAACCTGTATACTATAAATATACCAAAAATTCCACCTGCTGTTCAAGCATTTGGTGACTAATGGTGAAAATTGTCTTTCAAACAAACGATAAACAAGACCCCTAATATTTTATATAGGCCTTGCCATAAAATCTGTAAATCTTCTTTGTGCTTTCCTTCATTTTTGGTTCGTTTTGATCAAACTAAGGAAATTCACATGTCTTTTAAACCAGTAAAATGTGTAATGCATTCTAACTATAACAGCTCAGTTAGAATAAAAGGGAAGCAACATATACTATGAATTAACCATTAAATAAAATAGCAGATTGACCCCCATCACCATATGCACTATTGAAACTATACGCTGCTTTTTTAAAAACGTTGCTTACGTTACTTTTTGAAATTAAAAGTAGATAAGGGTTTAGAAATATATATATGTATATATATTTATATATATGTATATAAATTCTTGTCTGGGAATTAGCTAATCTATTCTGTTGACCTTTGACACTGTTAAAGCTAGTTTGTTTTTCACCGTTCTCCCCAACCCCGCCCCGCCCCAGAAAATCTGATTAGTAATAAAGTGAAGTTCAGCTATAAATAAGAAAGAAAAAGGCTGTCACTCTAAGAGGGATAGTATATCTAATTTTTTTTAAAAAAAATCTTGATATCTGAAGTATGTAACCTGCCCTTACTGTTTAGGGAATCTGAAGGAAAGGGGGAAAGAAAGAAAGAAAGAAAGAAGACAGGCACACTTTGTTGAATCAATGTAAGAGTTATTAACAAGAAAATCTTAGCTTCAGTTCTGTTTAAGGCACCATGTAATAGCCGAGGTACAATGATCCCTGATGTACATTCTTAAATGGCAATGGTCCGTCTAGCCACCTATTCAAATTCTACGCAATTGGGAAATAAGTACAAGTGACATGTGCCAGTTTCACTGCCTTTAAAACATTTTTATATAAAATGAAATCCACTTAAGAACCAGGAATTATTCTGAGCAAAATTACAATGCAGGTTGCTACATTCCTTGCATCCTATAAACTATCTTTAACAAGAGCAGCAGGTTGAACTATCATGAGGAAAAGGACATAGAATTAAAAAGTCATCTGAAAGGAATGGTTTCCTGCATGTCCAGTTCAGCATAAGTAGCACATACACTTAAAGAAGGAATCAAGATGCTTTTTAAAAAACTTCAGTATCTAACATCAGCACTGAAGAGCAGAATGCATCTGGGTAGTGGTCCCATATGTATATGAAGTGCAGAACCCAACAAATGCTTCTGTAGCATGACCTCCACTCACTTAAATGTGATTTTGCTCTTGTTGTAAATCAAAGATGCCTTAATTTGAATCTTGTAAAACTCTAATTAAAATGAATGGAGGTTGCACAGAGTCAGTTTTTGGGCAAAATGTACCTGAAATCAGTAGTCTTATGAGAGAGGAGCTAGTATCCCAAAATTTAAAATTGATTTAAGGAAGCTTGAATTGTCCATAATGGTATCATCTGTACCTTTATTAAGTACACATTACCATGTGCTATCAGAGCTCTCATTTATCCTGCAAACAGTAAGAATCACTCTTCCTCTGAGAAAGAAGACAATCTATGTTCTCTAGAATTATAATAAATTTTCCAATATATCTGTTGAGCACTCTGAAATGTATCAAAATAGTATCTTCCAGTTCTCTCCAATGAAAGCTGCCTTTTAATAATAATTTTAATGCAGCTGCTATCAAATGAGCATGCCTCCAGTGTAAATCAAAGAGGAAAATTCTTGATATTTCAGAGTGCAATTAATTAAAAACCCTATTTATACGAAATCACCATGACTAACAGTTAACATTAAAATATTTTGTAAGAACTATGAAAAAATTAAATTACTTTTAATTATAAAGAGGACAAAAACATTAACATTAATCTTCGCAAAAATGCTTCTTGACTTTTGAAACTAAGAAAACTCTTTATATTAAGCGGCCAGTGTAAAATGATTGTATTTACCTTTCCCCCCCAAAATCTGACAAAATACATAGACCCATTCCATTTCACAACTCCAGTAAAAGTACAGATAAAATTTGACAATAGTCGACTTTCAGAAATCTTTTTTGCATCCCTCCCCTCCCCTATGATATGCCCAACATCAACAGGGCTAATACAATCTGAAAAAAGAGCTTTAAATATTTGTTAGACTGCGGTATATGTATTTCCAGTAGCACTACACTGTCTGATCGTTTGAGTAGCTGTAACGATGTGCTCATTGTGAAGAGGGTTCAAAAGGTTCTGCTGTACTCCAGTCTCAAGTACTGGCTGCAGGCAGCCCACCTGAAAGGCCTGGCTAATTTCAGTCTTCTCTCTCTTTGCTTGTGGCTCTCCAGAGTCATCCAGCTCTTCGTCTATTTCACTTTCAACTTCACTGCCTTCATCTGCACAAATAAAACCACCATGAATCCTGCAATCTGAAAGAGCCATGTTACTATGAGATATAAAAGCTTAACAACACTAGCAATGTGTCAAGTTACTGGAATTGGATTTTTCTGTGCCCAAATCCAATACTAGCTAAATTAACTTATGTGCACTTGGCTGAGCTTCACCTTTCTCCTTTTCAGTTAGTCAAATCATCCAACGATTCTTATATTTGTAGATGAATGCTTATTTGCCAGCAGCATCTTAATTTCCCATCCTGATTTCTACTATGGGGGCTGCAAGTAGGAGAACCAATACCCCTTCTGTGATCAGAAATTACTTCTTTCATGGAAATAAATCCTTGTAAACACAAACCCTTTACCATGTTTTGTAGCTATTTCAGTGGAGACTGTTATCTTACTTTCATAATGGATGAGTAGGATCTGAACCAGTGCACAAGTTCAATATTGTACAGGTGGTCCTTGTTTAACAACCATTCAACGACTGTTTGAACTTACAATGGCATTGAATGAGTGGTAGCCATGACTTGACCTCGTACTTACGGCTGATACAACGTCCCTGCAGTTACATGATCACAATTTGCAACCTTCCCTGCTGGCTTCCCAAAGAAAAGTCAATGGGGAAGCTGGCAGGAAGTTGGAAGTTGCAGTCATGTGAGGTCTTCACTTAATGACCTGCATGGTCCTTGTTTAACAATGGCAACTGGGACTGCCGTCACTAAGCAGCACAGTCACGTGGTTTCTTGACCTACAACCGCATTGTTTAATGATGGGAGTTTCTGGCCCCAATTAGTGTCGTTAAACAAGGACTACCAATATCATACCAAATTCAGTTGAACCTTGTTCATACTGCCAATAAATTAAATGGATACTATGTTTCACTGAGTGAAAGGTCCTTTGTATGAGATGCTCTTCCTCATAATCCCACTGGCTGGATTCACACATCATACAAAACCATAATGTGATTGGACTGTGGATTAGTATGTTCTGAGACCCTTGTCAATTGCAGTTTACTCAATAAAACATGGTTAAACTATAGCTTAGTGCAATGTGCAAATCAGATCACTAGTTCACCTCTTTTAAGAAGATCTCTCAACCTTCAAAGTACACTTTCAGTTAAAGTAGAAATGCAAGAGTGAAGAAGAAAAGCAGGAATAACATACAAATAAAGTAAACAAATAAATTTATAATTCCCTAATCAAGTTGAAGATCTATAGTATGTGTATACTAACCTTTATCCATGTTTCCAGGAGACGCAGCATTTAAATCACCAAACTGCAGAAAAAAACAAAAATAGCATCTTTTTATACAATATGTTATACTAACAATTTCCATAGCAGTCAAATCCTCTGTGAAATCTAATCATAATCAGGATTCCCAAGAAATAATGTGACTATTATCATCCACAAATGGAACATCTGTAACATCTTTCAGATTATGCCATTCTAGGGGTGGTTCAGGGATTTCTAGAAGTGAACCCTTCAAATTAAAAGTGGTTTAAAGTGTTTCAGAAGTGATCTGGATCTGAAAGAGGCTTGATTCTTCCAAAATGCCATATCCAGCTTGTGTTTAAAAAAGAGACTACCAAAATGCCTAGTGCCTGGAATGGGACCAGAGCATTCTAAAGTTGGCAGAATCTTTCACAAATCAATGAGTTTAGTCCATCCTTAGTCATCTCCAGATCATTTATCCTATACATAATTATTTGAGCTTCTACTACTCAATCTTGTGAGACTATTCTATGCACTACGACAACAAATGTATTCTAACACATACCACAAAGCCTTCTAATCTAAAGTTAAATTGTGTACTGTATTTAGGAATGAAAAAAAAAAGTTAAATAGTGAACAAAATACTAAAAGAAACTACATGTATTGCCTAATAATTTCTGAATAAAAGTAAAGAATTCTTGTTGCCTACTTTTGTATATATTTTCATAATGCACACTGTTCATTTTAATCCAGAAAGCAAGTGTAATGAAGTATATGGAGAGGGGATATTTGAACATTCTTGATGTCTGTGGAATATTAAAAACATTCAAATATATTGATGCTCCATTTATAAGATCTATTATTACTGTGTGCTTCAGAAAGGAAGCATATCTTCCCAAGTTCTCTTGAAACAAATTTGTGATGCAACAAAAATAAAACCCCTAATGATAATCATCTTCAGTTAATAAGAAGATGACTATTAGGGTGACAGAAAAAAATCTTACTAGGGATGAAAATATTAGCTTTTTATTATTTACTTCAGATAGATACAACAAATAGTTTTAACTATTTTAATTTACCCACTTTGAGTGTCAAACTACTGGTCAAAGAAGGGGGAAAGTTTGAATATTGAGCAATACAGGAAGACTACAAAATTAAAAGGAAGGAGCAGAGATTTCAGAAATTTGCACAGGATTTGAATGGTAAGACAAAAATACTGGACCCAGTATTTAGTGTGAATAAATATATTCAGGATGTACAGTCAGACAAAAGAAAATGAATTTCTGTAACAGCTCTATATAGATTCAACTTAACTGAAACTTGATTATATCCATTGTATCTAAATCTTGGATGAAAGGAATTTAATTATAACTGATCCACACTTACTTCCTAGAAAACACATGTACTTAACTAAATATAAATTAATGAGGTAATTTACTCCTTGATGTTTAAATAATCTGGTAAAGGATTCTAACTGTAGACTGACCTCTCCCATAACTGCAATAGGTGTCTCTCCTGTGGCTTGAGCAACACGATGTTCAACTAAGTAAAACATATATTCATCATATAACAGACGGATCAGATGAAAAGAACCAAAGCTAGCAGCACTGCGCAGAGTTAAATCTCGAATCACCATTGAGCTATATTAAGATGAAAATACAAATGAAAAACATTACCATCAAATAAATATGCCAGAAATCTCTGACACTTTCAACATAATTCTAATAATTACATCATTTAGGCCAGGACAACATTTCTTTTTTTGTCAATGTTAGTATTCTTGC